AGTAAACCATTCGGCCTGCGATTTAGGCTGGATTTTACATTTTGTCCCCTTCTCTGATTGAGTTCGACACCCCTACTTTAGACTGTCTTCTCTTCACCCTCACTGTCAATTAGTTACCATGTATGGTTTTTCTGCTTAAATATACCTCTATGTCCTCTGCTTGCCACGAGCAATCATCCCTTACATGGATTAATGGAGTAATTTCTTCAGGGGTCTTTCACTTCTTGTTCCAAGAATACAACCTTTTACACTCCACCATCAGAGGGATCTTTCTAAAATATGTCTCATCTTGATACCTTCCCATCTAAATGGCTCCTCACAAGGTTCAAGTATAGTTCACCCCTCTGAGCATGAACACCCTCCATGATTCTGCCTTACTTATCCCTTCCACCCCATTTTCCCCCATAAAAGGGCCCAGAGTCCAGCCATACTGATCACACTGCAGCCCAGACTACTCCAACCTATGACCACTGTGCCTCCGCTCATCATATTTCCTCACCCCCTTCTTACCAAGCTCACTTCCTCCTAAGCAACAGCTCTGACTCCTCTGTGCTCTCAACATTCCTCTGCTCTCCTCTTTCATAAAAATCATCAAAATGTACTGATTTGAATGCTCATTTGTTTCCCTCTTTAACCACTCCTGGAGAACAGGGCCTTTAGATTGGTCACTTTTGCATCCTCAGAACCTAATATAGACCCAGGACACATGTGCTAAATCAATGAATGAGAGAGACCTAGAGAGATTCATTTATTTCCAAGGCCATTCACTCCTTCATCTAATAAGTATTCGTTGACTATCTGTAAGTAATATGTACTAATTATTTTTCTGGATGTTGGGGGTGCAACATTATTTAATGTTACAAAAGCCCCGGCTGTTTGAGAGACAGAGGGATTTACATTCTACTGGGGTTTCATACTAAAAACATAGAGGCAGAAATAGAAATGGAACCTAAAGTATAAAATGTCCAATTGACTCATATGTTCCTTCCTTCATTACCCATTTAATAAGCAACTACTTCCTGCTAGCCACTTTATTCAAACACTCAAACACTTCACACACACACACACACACACCAAATACTGGTTTAATGTCTGTGTTTCCTCCCCATCCCTTTTCTCCCCCAGAATAGTAAGCAATGTGAATTGCCTAGTAAATATTCTTTGAATTATAACATCTGGACAGATGGCTAGCTATGAAAGGCTGGGCATCAAGGCACAGTCTTCCCCATCAATGTGTTCTGGTGTATCTCAAATTGTAAGGGAAAAAGTTACACACAAAAGTAATTGCTCAAACAGTGCCCACCATTTTTCAAAGGCTCTTGCTTAGAGGACAATGGCACTTCTTGCTAGGTTGGAGTTTTTCTTCAGCAAGCTGGCATCTATGAACTCGGTAGAAGCTTCACCCACTTCGTTCCAGATCCTGGAGCCAATATCCTCCTCCATCTTTCGCTATCAGAGTCAAGATGAGAACCAACATGAACAGGATGAGTCAAAGAGGCTCCTTCACACAGAGGCAGGGTCCTACGATGCCTGGAATCGTGCGTGCGGCCAGTACCAGGGGAGCCAAAAGTCCTCCGCGGTCTCTATTGAAAGTCCCCATAGTCTTTAGGGAAATCTTTCCAAGGGGAAAATTCCTGAAGTCCCATCTCCCCTCTGGAAACTCTGGCACGAATTCTGCCTGTCCCCACGGATGACATACGTGCCACAGCGATCGTGTAGATCCCCATCTCGGGTTTCAAATCCCCTTTATGTGGGAGAAGAGTGACTGGGCAGTTCTCCCAGCTCAGGCGCTCTTTGAAATTAATGGGAACTCCTCCTCGTTTTATTCCGAATTCCTCCCTAGGGCTTCTCTACTCCCCCAAAACTGTTCTCTCATTCTCGGATGAAGGAACTAAGCTTGGGCTACAGAGTTCAGGCAGCCCTGAGAAGGAGCTCATGAATTTCTTGGAATCAAAGGCTCTTAGAAATGGAAAGAACCTTAGTTTAAAAATGCACAAGAGCCCTTTATTCAACAAATGAGAAAACTGAAACCTCAGATGGATTAGCCTGCTGAAGCAGCAATAATAGCACACTACAAACCGGTAGCTTAAACAATGTAATTTATTTCTCACAGCCCTGGACCCTGGCCATCCAAGATCAAGGTGTCAGGAGGCTTGGTTTCTTCTGAGGCCTCTTTCCTTGGTTTGTAGGTAGTCACCTTCTCCCTGTGTCCTCATATGGTCTTTCCTTTGTACACACACCCTGATATCTCTTTGTCTATATGTCCTCTTCTTATGAGAACAGTAGAGCCAATCAGATGGCTCTACTGTTCTCAATTCAAAATATAGTCATATTCAGGTAACAGGGGTTTGGGCTTCAGCATATGAATTGGAGGGAAGGCCCTGTTTGATCCATAACCCCAGGGATATTTCTGGTTCCCAAGTCTTCTCACAACTGGTTTCTTCTCAACATCTAGGTCTCTGAGAGACCTTCTCCGGCCATCAAATTCAATGTCATACTCCTCAGATACTTTATTGCCAAGACTCTATTTCCTTTTCTTCATAACCTTTATCATTTCTCACCATGAGAATGGTCACATGAAAGGCTTTAAAAAACAACCCAAATTCCTTAACTTGGCTAACAAAGCTCTAATAGGATGTAGCACCTGCCACCCTCTGCAGTATCATCTCCATCACTCTGTCTACATCCCAAACAGCCCAGTCTTTCTCCTGTTCCTTGAAACTACATTCCAACTGTATTCTCATCTCCAGACTTTTGCATTTGCCATCCTCTTGGAACGAGATGCACTTTCCTCAGGTAGCTTCTTGCCATTCAAGTTGAGGCCATCTGTGATCAGCCAACCAAGAGCAACTCTGAGTTGTACATAATGAAACCAACACACCTGAACTTTCTCCCTGGCACATATCCCCACCTGATATTTTCCTTGTTACTAATTCATTTGCTTGTTAATGTCTGACTCTCCCTTCCTGCTATCCTCTACTCCTCACCCAGAATGGGACATGAGAACAGAGCCTTCTTCTGCCTTGCCCCCGTCATATCATCTACACATAGAAGAGTACCTGGTCCATTGTAGGTACCATAAAATAAAATAAATGATAAAATGAATACATGCATGAATGATGTACTAGACTAAGGTTTCTCACCTTCAATACTATTGACAGTGTAGGCCAAATAGCTCTTTGTTGTAGAGGGCTATTCCATGGCATTGTAATATATGTCACAGCATCTCTCCGAGTCAAGACAACCAAAAATGTCTCCAAACATTGCCATATGGCCCCTGTGGGAGGAGGGGTGCAAAATCACCCCAGTGGAGAACCACTCATTATACTGTGAGCTCCCAGATGGACGGAACTGTATCCAAAACCATTAGATACCCCTTAACTACATGTAGATGCTCGATAAATGTTTACTGAAGAGAGATTAGTTTCATAATCTGCTAAATATAGATCCAAGAAATGTTCCAGAACTCATTGTCTCAATAGGATTTGGCCACTTACTACTTATGAGATCAACTTTGCCAAGTCTCTTTGCATCCTCATCTGTTAAACAGAAACATCAAAAATTCCTACACTGTGACCCTGCTTGCTAAGCCATAAAGTACAATACAAATGTGCGATTAATTATTTATGCATTTTTACTTCACCTCTTGCTAATAACTCTTGCCTGAAATAACTTCAAAAGAGAACATTTGCTCCTATTTGCCTGCTTCAGTGTTTACCTGACCCCCTTTCTCTCTAGAAGTTGGGAGCACTTCCTGAGTTTTTGTAAAGTTCTGACCCTTCTTCTCACCTTTGCCCATTGAAGTTCAGACTCACATACAAGGTCTCTGTCTCAAACAGCCCTTAGGAAAAGGTCTGTCCTGGGCAACATTGTCACTGGGTTGTTTGTGATTCTTCTACTTCAGAAAAAGTAATTTCTACTGTAAGTATCTCTTCTTCAGATTCCATTGATGTCTCAATATTCCCTCAGGAAGCTTCCAGACAGAATTAATCTCTTCTTCCCACTGATGCCATTTTGTTTTTACCTCCAGCATATCTCCAAGTCAACCAGAGGAACAGATGGACTCTCAATTCTAGCCAGACTGTGAGTTCCTTGAGGAGTTGAGATCCTGGAGTTTAGGGATAAGGAGATTATAGCATGCTCCTCACTTCCCTCTGTCACCATATCCCAGGAGGGGGGGAAAAAGTTAACTATCACAAATATAATTTCCTAAGAATCATAAAATTATATGAATTTGTTTTTTAGATTAGAAGAGAAGTTATATTTCTGTGAATTCTGAAACAGAGTATAATTTACAGGATGGATTTATCCAAAGAAAGAAAAAAAAACCCAGAGGCACATACAAAGGCAAGCTATGAGCACCATCTCATGGAAAAATCAATTGTCAATCACAATCTCATCAGTAGATGTTCTTCCATTCGTGGCCTCACCAAGAACATGGGTGAGGGTAACACTAGGAGAGCAAGGGCACCACTATTATTGACACACACTTACCCACACACGCATAGATTTGTTGGCCCTGTTGCCTGCATGTTACAGTCCATGATGACGTCCATATCTGTCATCTGTTTCAATCCCCTCATTCTCTCATCTGTAAGGACAGAAGTCTTAGCAGCAACAACAGGCGAGGTCTGAGATGAATCTCCCTGCTTGTAGTCACTTAGACTATGCTAGGATGAACCTGGGCTCACCCCATGGCCTCTAAACCACAGAATCCTTAACTCCAGCCCCTGCAGTTTGCTCTGGTCATTCCCGAGGCCCAGGTCCTAATTCCATTCAATCTCTCCCTAAACCTGAGCTTTCTGAATGAAAACCCACACTCAAAGTACCTCATGCTGCTCTCCTTCCTGCTTAGGCCCCACTGCCCAGACTCCTAGAGTACTGTCAACCTCCTGGGACTCCCTGCCATGGAGGTGTGGTGAGAAGAAACCTCACTTTCAGATTAAACCTCCCTTTCCAAATACACACCTGCACAAACACATAAGCACTTGCCACATCCAGTCCTCACTTTAGCAGCACATATACTAAAATTGAAATGATACAGAGACAATTTAGCATGGCCCTGCACAATGATGACATGCAAATTCATGAAGTGTTCTATATTTTTTGCAGTGCCCCAGCAGGTGTCCTCACATCCTTTAGAACAAATATAAGTCAAAACATAGCGTGTGATCTCAATAGCAAAATCATGACTTGTCACAATTTAAAAAAATACAAAACTTGCCACATCCGGTAGACACTGAGGGTCAGATCCCCTGAGCCAGCTTCTTCTGCTCATTGCTTTTCCCAGCACCCATATGCTATGTTCCACTTTCTGTCCAGCACCGGGCCTACGCTATTACAATCCCAACATGCTCTGTAGGTGAGCTCACATGAGTTACAGCACATCCATTCAAGTCAAAGACCCCAACATGCTGTACATTTGTCCTCCAGCAGTTGATGATAATAGAAGGTACATTTGCCACCAGTAGAGAATGGCCTTTTTTGCCCAGAAAGTCTACTTTATCATGTAGCACCAATGATGAAATCTTGCAATAATTATGAAGAGGTTTGCTAGAATAAAGATCACAAACTCAAACACCTCCCAGTGTCAGGAAGATAAGTGGATATTGGAATGAGGTAAGGGCAGGAGTAAAACGATCCAGGCCATACCCACTGGTAATGCACATCCACTGTATGGTTGACTTTACGTGACAAGTTGGGACATCATGTTCTTTCCAGAAAGAAAAAGGCACTGAGTTTTGCCCGGCATTTCCCAGAAACGTGGATCTGGAGAGTTCCTCCACCTACACAGGGACCTTGTGTCTCTCTGTAAATGAAAGGGTTACTCCCACCTAAGCCTTTCTCAATCTGACCTCATATGGGAGGAAAATCAAGTGGCCTCCAGGTCGGCTCTGGAGTGATTTTTGGCAAGAGGGGGACCAAAGGAGGACAGGCTTTCTGCCAAATCCTGCTCTTGTGAAAAATCATTTAGCCCATTCTCACCAGACATATAAAATCATCTGTAATAAATGTTTCCTGAAAATGTCAGGGGAATTTTTCCATTTTTACATGCTAAGGTTATAAGAGAGTCATTGAAGCACAGAATCAGTCATGCAAACTCTGGAAACCGAATATCTGATCAAAAAAAAAAGAAAAGAAGTGCCCCAAAGCTCTGTTCCCTTCATCTAAGTTCCTTTCTAGTTGTTGCTAAAGTCAAAGATTAATTTCATAAATCTGTTTGATTTGTGGATATGAGATTGCTACAGAATCTAAGTGCTTGGAAAAGATGATTTGCTGGAGATACTCAGTAATACATGCAGCCTCAATGATATCATCACTTCCACCCCCAGAAGAGGGCCTGGGAATCAGAATGTGGGTACCATAAGGGCCTTGAAGTTCTTTGAAACAGGAGGAGACTTACTCCTTTGAGGTTAAGTAATTTATTTAGGGAAGCATAGCCAATTATGAACAAAATGACTCTATATCCTGACAGTAGGGCCATTTTTCTTTTCTATACATTAGCAATCTTCAAACTGGGCTATATTCATATGAAGACCTCCCAAAGGATATACAGGCACAAATAAAATCAATTTAGAGGAAACCACTTTCGGGCCTACAATTATCAAATGTGTATTCTTTTACATGATTGATCTGTATAAGAAAGCATCTTGAGGTAGCAAGCCAATTCTCCTTTCCCAGTCCCCTTTCCCATTTTTCTTCCATTCTGAAAAAAAACTTTAGTTTAGCTTTACTTCATATTTATCATTTAGAGAATCATTTACAATAATATTTTAGTCTTTACTAGAGTGTATAGCATATACATATATGTGATTAGGATCAATTGTGAACTACTAATAATTATAATGATGACACAATCTAAGCAAAATTTGTTTTGCAACTTGGAGCCTTGGAGTTGTAAAAAAATCATTGTTCTTCAATGTGAAAACTATTTTTGTGGCATGTAAGTTTTATAGGTTGATCAATAAAAGATCTTCAAATCTGAAAATTCTATGATGCGCAAAAAATAAAAATGTGATTTTTTTTTTTTTTTTTTTTTTTTTTTTTACGATGAAAGGATGCGATACAGAATTGTTACCAGCATTGGTGTTCTATGATTCCCCAAAATACAAATGGAGAGAAAATGCCAGAGAAATTTCCAGACAGATTTTATTAAGCTTATGCTTGAGCACAAGGGAGGCAGCACAGAGGAAAAGAAAATCCTCTAGTCTGGTTCGGGGCCTGGCTATATTTGGCTGCTTTTCTAAGCCGGGAACAGGTGGGCTTATGTGAAAAGACTTGTGAGGGGTTCAGGAGTGGAATTTTCCATGTTAGGATGGACTTACTTGCCCTTTCCAGCTGTGTTGCCTGGTAACTATGTTCACACCTTCACTATGTGGCAAGATGTCAGACTTCTCATTTCTGCTGCCCCAGGAAGGATATATAGGGTCAGACTTTGATCAAATTGCATGAGGGTCAGTAGTTTCAACATCCACAGTTAGAAGGGATAAAATCAACTACCTCTGCATTTTTGAGTAGGGAGCGAAGAGATGGTGATCTTTCTGAGGTCAGCTTATCTGGTGTCCCTTCTTGACCACCTAGCCTTACCTTGGCCTCTTGTACACCCAATATCCTTCATTCCTAAGCCCACGTCCCTATACTGTAGGGGTGTCGAACTCAATCAGAGAAGGGGCCAAAATCTAAAATCCAGCCTAAATCGCGGGCCGAATGAATGGTTTACTGAACAGTCATAAACTGTCATTGTGATGGAAACGCAGCGGAGTGCAGTGATGACAGTGCGGTGCGGGCCACATTGCAAGGCCTGGCGGGACGGATTTGGCCCACGGGCCTTGTGTTTGACACATGTGCTAAACTGTCTCAGAAATTTTTGCTATTAAGTAAAAGTCTGTTCATGTTTGTTTTTTTTAAGTTAGATGATAGTGGGTGTCAAAAGACTATGGAATCTTTATGCCACTGGGTTCATTTAAAAGAGTGATGTATTATTTTAGTTCAAAATTTTCAATAATTATAATAAATTTAAGTTTTATCCTTTGCAATTATTTAAATTTATGAAGAAAAACTTACAGGTCAACCATGAAAGAGGTAAGGGAGTACATAGTTTTTTAAAAACTTTGAGGGCAGAAAGGAGCAAAAACCTTTGAAGACCATTGCTTTTTACTTCTTTTTTGGGGTGAGCAGTAGACTAGGTGGTAAAGAAGGAGGAACTGTGGCCTAGGAGCTCTGTCCTGCTATTGAGCCATTCGGTCAGTCTGAGGAGTGTATTTATAGGCAAACCACCAGATGCCTCGCAAACTCATTTCTTCTTCCAGGAAATAGAGCAAAACCACATTTGCAACACTCTGCATCTCAGTAATAAATGTCTTTCCTGCTCATATAAATTTGTTTAAGTTTAACAAAGTTAAATACAAAAGGTCCTCAAATAACACCATTTCTTAATGTCATTGGGTCCAACATTCTTTCCTTACAACACTGATGATTCACCATAGGAACTTAATTCTTGTTTATACCTATTAATCTATGGTAAAATTGGTTTTCTTAGACATCCAAAAACCTATCCGAGATGTTCAGTGAGCACTTACTGTAGATGTAAATTTTCCTTTAAGAAAAGCGCCTTCTCAGAGCTCTCAGTATGCTAATATTTAAAATCTCCAAGTCCCCCAATGATATGCTAATGGAGCCCTTTTCCCTGAGTGCATATACACCCGCAAACCCAGCTTGAGTTCTGAACTGCCTCTGAAGATACCTGAGCTGCCTTCACTCCAGGCCTTTGCTCATGCAGCTCCTTCATCCTCTCCTCCTGTGGGTCCAAAATGTCCCTACTTCTTTCATGCAGCCTCCCCTGGAGCCCTCCTCCCAGCCCCAATCTGAGCCTCTCTCTCTCTCTCTCTCTCTCTCTCTCTCTCTCTCTCTCTCTCTCTGCTTCCCACTGCTTTTCTATTACAGTCCTCCTCCTATTATACCTTGTTCAATGCCGCCATCTGCATCTTATCGCCTATGCTAGGGGTGTCGAACTCAATCAGAGAAGGGGACAAAATCTAAAATCCAGCCTAAATCGCGGGCCGAATGGTTTACGGAACAGTCATAAACTGTCATTGTGATGGAAACGCAGCAGAGTGCAGTGATGACAGCGCGGTGCGGGCCACATTGCAAGGCCTGGCGGGACGGATTTGGCCCGCGGGCCTTATGTTTGACACATGTGGCCTATGCTAAATGCTAGGGTCTCTCTAAAAGCAAAAACCAAGTATCATTTCTCTTTGTAGCTGCCCCCTCAAAATTATATCATAGTGTATACTCAATATTTTTTTTACTGTTAATGATTGACACTTCAAAGCATAAACCAACAAAGCTAAACTTCTAATGATCTGACTCACACATATGGTCTGGCTTTCCCATTTATTGGGTGACCCTAAAAAGTTTGCAGTATTCAATATATGCTGGTATGCTATGACAAGGCCAAGTTTTCTTGAGCAATCACTGCCTTGGAATATACGTGAAAAAAGATGTCATTGCCTCATTACTTTAGCTTAATATGTTTCTGGCTAAGAAGCAATTTTCATGAATCACAAACCTCTTCCTCATGGCACCAGTAGCCACCATATACAATGTCCTGATGAAGAACTGTCATTTGAAGCAGCAACAAAGGCAAGATCAAGTTCTGACCCACGCTGAGTTTTTGGAACGGTTGTGCTTTCTGCAAGCCAGGTTGACATTACGGAGAATGTTTATTCTGGCTCAGACCACCATGTCTTCAAAAGGAGGCACTCATATTTTCCCTGGCCCTTCCATCAGTGTAATGGTTTAACAAACATTCTAATTCAGTAACCCAGTTGGCATGTACTGAGCAGTAACTATATGGCCAGCACAATCACCTGTGCCTGCTAGCTGCTTTTGGAGAAGGGTAAGTCGAATGAAAAAGAGTCCTATAGAGACATGCCAAAAACATAGAAAGAAATAAGAAAAAAGAGATATGCAAAAGACTCATGGGGTAGAGGCTGTCACTTGTCTATAATAACCATTTCCCCTTCCTCATTAGAAACAGCACCCCAATTTTATTGGGGGGGAAAATGCACTCAGCTAAAATTCCCAATTTCCTGACCTTCTCCTTTC